CCTTCTCCATGTAACACGTCATCACGAAATTGATTAAAGATATTAATATTCATTGATAAATTACATGTATATGAGATAAATAATCAGTAATCCTTGAGATCAATCTCAAAAGTCGAATGCGGCTGCTTCTCCGGTGCTGCCGGATCCAAAGTTGTGCCACCAGCAACCGCCTGAAAAATTGAATGGGTCTAAACTTTCAAGGAGAAGATTTAATTCCTAAAGTTCCATGAACTACTTTGAACGCGTAGCTCACCTGTGCGACAATTTCGGCTTTGAGTTCCGGTGTTCTGTCTAAGAGCATGATTATCCCTCCATAACTTATCGACTTCACCGGTTTATACCTACGAAACAGCTTTTCAGTAAAATAAGATGTAAATAAGAAGATTTAAAAGAAAAAACCTTGAATTTTCTGGCATAGAAAGTGTCTTTAGCTGGAGCCGAACTACTCTCGCAGGATTGTCAATGGTATGGGTGGGTGCTTCGTTTTCCGGAACTGATTTCCTAAAAGGAAGATAATAGTTCCCCATTTGGCCAAAAGTAGTTCTCTTGAATCAAACTTTTCTTCCTCCTTGGCGGTTTTGAGTGCCTCATCATCAACCTCCATTTTCTCCTCTACATTTTTCTTAGCCAATTTCTTTTTATGTGTAATCGAAAGAACTGCTGTTTCTACCTAAAAAAAGATGACAGGAAACTTTTGAAGAAGTCGAAAACTCCCCATTTTGATATCCCTGTGCTTAATGCGATTCTCTGCAGAGTTCAGCAGCTGTCGCAGCGACAGCGCTACGCTGGGAACTGCCTTCGACATACTTCACTCCAAAGAAAAATAACAACCCATACATAAGCCCTCCCATATTGAAACTTCGGTAATGACTTAATTATAATTGATGTTTTCTACGACAGGTAGCATTGAAGCACTCTTATTTGAGCCTGACGTTTCGGCCTAACACCGCCCTAAAATGCTTGAAAGTAAACCAGCTACCTAGTTAACGCTGATATCATCAAGCACCTCTTCTATATAACGCCTTCGACTCTTCCTTGGTAGTCCCAGGCAGTTTTGACAGCATGTTGTTCCAATAAGTTTTCGCAACCTAGCAGATGCTTACCCGCTCTACGATTGTACACGAATGACAGTAAACGAGCGGTCCGACAAACTTCCTGCTTAAGTAGTCATGGATAATCCTATAGCTCAGAAATCGATAAGCATGGCCATAAATTTTTTTGCTGGACAGTGCTCCTTCCTGCTAGTTCTTTGAATGCCAAAATACACTTTAAATCAAAATCCTGTTGCTCTCCTTTCTGTCTCCCTAAAGGATATGAGAAAGTGCCGCATTTTACTAGCCAGATGTTCATTAACAAGTACGAAAAGTTTCTCCAACTGCTTCGTAAGTAAAATGACAATCCACGTATTTCAGATAGATTATGTCGCATTTGAAGCAATCGTCCAATTCGCATGATATTCGATAAGTAATTTGTCCCGTAGATTGTCCGTGGTAGGTTGTATAATAGAGCTGGCATCTCGCAAAACTGCGTCGTTTGTCCCTATGCTAATTTGAAAAAACGCT